CAATGGATGAATGAGTAAAGAAAATATGATACGTGTGTGTGTGTGTGTGTGTGTGTGTGTACACACAATGTAATATTATTCAGCCTTTAAAAAGAGGGAAATTATGTCATTTGCAGCAACATGGAAGAACTAGGAGGACATTATGCTAAGTGAAGTATACCAGACACAGAATAAACAAATACTTCAATACTTATATGGAGGATCTAAAATAGTGAAACTCAGACCAGCAGAGAGTAGAATGGTGGCTGCCAGGGGCTGAGGGGCGGGGGAGATGGGGGATGTGGTCCAGGGGCACCAAGTTTCAGTTACACAAGATGAATAAGTTCTGTAGATGTAATGAACTGCAACGTGACCACGGTAACAATACTCTATGGTATACCTGAAATTTGCTAAGAGTATAGATCACATAGGCAAAAAGAAAGCGGTAACTATGCAAGGTGATGGATATATTAATGAGCTTGATTGTGGTGATCATTTCACAATGTATACATATATCAAAACATCAAGTTGTACACCTTAAATATATACAATTTTTATTTGTCAATCATCCCTCAGTAAAAATGGAAAAATAATTAAAAGCAGTGTGTGTTGCATTAAGTATACTTACTGCAGATAGAAAAATTGTGTCAAAGCCCATCTAAATAAGAATCTAAAATTTTAAGAAAATACTTGCACAGTAAAATACTTTTATTTCACAGGTTTATTCCATTTATTTGTAACAGTCCATTTTTTACACAATACAGTCTTTTGCTTAAATGTAATAATGCGCATGTAACAAAAGGGATTTAATAACCCACATAGCCTCTAAGTTTTCACCTATGGACAGGACAGATATGATGTAACACATGCTGCTTACATGTGATTTCTAAGGAGGCAGAAAGTAGCTCACAGCAATCTCACTAGGCCCTGTCTTTCTCATGCTTCACACGATGCCCACAAGCAGTTGCGGGAGAACTGGGTGTCTGGAGGAGCCAGGTCTGTCTGGAAGAGTTCATAGCCAGTAGGGCACAGTTAGGACTTGGTGTGATACTATCTTGGATAAGGGGTGCACAAGGAGAGTCCCCGGCAGTGGGAGAATGCTGACACTGCAGTGCACTTAGGTGATGGCATGTGGACAAAGATTGTGGGGAGGGACACCGGGAGCCAGAGCAGAGGGGGCTTTGGCAACTGACTACAGTGCAGGGGTGGGCCATCTGGAAGGACTCCAAGGATGGCTGAAAGCCATGCCCATGCATGGTCCATTAAACCTGAGAGAGAGCACATTGCTCTTCCTGGACTCACCAGGGTTTGTATTTATGTTGCGGTACTTTTCAGTTTTCAATCCGATCCACAGTATTTACTAAGGGCCCATTATATGCAGTGGACTGGCTGCTGAGCAGTACAAAGATGTGTGCAAATAGAAGCCCTGCCCTCAGATGCCCGCTGTCTAGTAAGGATGTTACAGCAAAGCCTCAGACAGTAATAGAAATCGTATTAAAATAGGTTCCATGTATCTCTCATCTCTCTGTGTCTCCCTCAATGCCTTGTGAAAGGTGTTTCAA